CCTCAATTTCCTTGAGCATCCTCCCCAGCCTAGCATAGTCTCCCTTAATTCGTTCCAGTGAGAATCTAGCCGTATCATTTGTTCCTACATGAAGGATAATCAATGGATTCCTTCCTGCTCCCTTAATAATCCTCTTCAACCTCAGTTCCACATCCCGTATCTTAGCACCTGGCAGACAGCACACCCTTCTATTCTCTGGATCAGCTCTGGTTACAGGCCTATCTATTCTTCTCAATAAGGAGTCCCCAATCACGTAGACCTGCCTTTTCCTAGTGACAGTGCGATTCTCTGGTCTATCTCTTGGTTCCTCTGGCTGCAAGTCCTTGCTATTCCTATTTTCCCTTGTAATCCTCTTTAACCCATCCTGTAACCTCCTAATGCTCATTTTGGTGTTGTCTCCATAAATTTTCCCCTTTATTTATGGGACTAGCCACTCTTCTCTTCTTCCTCACCCTTCCATCTTCATTATCTACCTGCTATACCCCTTCTTCATTCTCCAACTCCACATACCTGTTCTTGAGCTCTATTTTTCCTTCACTGACCCATCTTTTCCTCTGCCTGGTTCTCTTAGTCCACTTTCCATTTTCTTCACCCTGCAGTCCCCCCTCTGAGGCCCTTGATCCTGCCTCCATCTACATATCTAAACTTTCCCCTTCAGCCACGTCATGCCTTTGCTCCATCATCTGCTCAAACCCCCTTCGAAACTCGACCAGAGTTTCCACCTGCATCTCCAGTCCTCGGATCTTTTCTTCCATCAGCTCTATCAGGCGGCACTTCATGCAAACAAAACTCCTTTCAGGTACCCCCTCCAGAATCATGTACATACCGCAGCTACCACATCCAATCATCCTCCTTGTGTTCTCTACTACTTGGGCCATGGCCACTAATGCCTCTGTGTTTTATTTACTTTCTCACCAAAATTCTATTAGTCCGGTGAACACAAAAACAAACCAAAACACCCCTCCACAGCAAAAACAAACCCTGCGTTGTTGCACTGAAGTCAGAATGAAAGGGATTCCTGCAGCATGATTTTTCTAGGCACTGAGGTGAGGCTGATTGTCTGTAGTTCCTTGGATTCTCCTTCCCTTTTGGGCACTGCATTTGGCTTTTCCCAATCATATAGGCCAGGCATGTCCAAAGTCCGGCCTGCGGGCCAATTGCGGCCTGTGTTCCAGTTTAATACGGCCCCCCAGGTAATTTGGCAATATCTATCTTTTATGGCCCCCAACGAATCCATATGTATTGAGATGAATACATTGTAAAATCTCAGTTAATGTCAGTTGGTCTAAATCAGTTATAAATATATTTGGACACAACATGTATACTTGGTGTTATGTTCCTGTTCATATTTTTTGAACTTAAAAGTTGACAGACAACCTTTATTACCAATAATATGTAATGTACTTTACAATGTTCCTGACATATATTTCAGCTTCCTGGATTTTTTTTTCATCTGGCCTTCAGATATGAAAGGCAGAGTGATTTAACACCTGTTTAGATTTGTCATCCATGTGACGAAATGAAAAGTATGCCGTTTGCAATAAACTTTGCATAAAATAGTTAATTTGCATTTAATTTTAATGGTTCAAAGAATGTCAGGCAAAATGGTCGGCCCTCACGCATGTTCACTTCATCAAATCTGGCCCTCTTTGAAAAAACTTTGGACACCACTGATATAGGCCCTCCCCCAATCGCCATGAGCTTTCAAAGGCCAATGGCTCTGCAAACACCTTAGCCAACTCGTTCTGCATCCTGGGTGTATTAGATCTGGCCCCATGGACTTGTGCACATCCAGCTTCCCTGAACAGTCATTAACCTGTTACGACTTTCACTAGAGGAGGCTGCTCAGCTCCTCCCCATACTGTGCTGCCCAGTGCAGCGGTCTGGGAGCTGAGTTTTTCCCATGAAGACAGAGACCAAAAAAAATCACTGAATATTTCTGCATTTTCCACATCTGTCCCTAGGTTCCTACCCCATTCAGTAAGGATCCTACACCCTTCCTGACCTTCTTGTTGCTAACATACCTGTAGAAACCTTCTTGATACCCTTCACATCCCTTGCTAGCTGCAACTCCAAGTGTGCTTTGGGCTTCCTGTTTATATCCCTCTCCCTGCATGCTCAAGAAACATACACACATACTGTACACTCTCAGGCTCCTTTGTTGTAGATCATGACAGTTAAGGTCTTGATCCTGCACAGATTTATAGACCTGGTTAACTTTACACATGGGGAGTAGCCATTCTGATTTCAGTGCAACAACCCAGGGTCTGTAAAACTAAGCAAGTATGTACATCTCTGCAGGATGGAGGCCTCTGAAGCTGTAGCAGTCCTAGGCACGTTTCCAATCTTTAGGGAAAACATGCTGGTTATCAGGCAGAAGAACATCTGAAACAGACAGCAAATAATGATGTACAGTCTTAGAGCTGCTTTGTGCCATTGGAGTAGCAGTGTCACAAAAGTGTGTCCTGTTCAATGCAGAAACTGAAGTCTAAAACATCTGCTAATCTTGTGCTACAGTACTACAAGGGCAGACTCTAAATCTAGATGAGGACACTGATTATAAGCATCTATTTTTGAGGCTAATTCTTTGATAGAGAAAAATCCCTGCAGGCCAACACTTGGCACAGAGGCTCTTGAAGTCTGTTGTGGCTATTAGTTACAAGAGGAGTACAAAACAGGCTGTGATTCTACTGATCCTATGACTCTGGGAGTAAAGGATCAGGCCCATATTAAAAAGGTATCTTTCTGATCTTCAGTATGCTAAAAAAAAATCCTTGTCTTTTAAAATTAAAATTTTCCAGGTAATAAATTCATTATGCAGACACAGGGGTTTGCCAATTTCTTTTGTATATAAAAAACAAAACCGATGGGAAGATAAAGGAAGAATGTGGCCTTGACATCTTGCTGCAAGTTAGCCTGGTGCTTTTTTTTTTTTTTTTTTTTTTAAACTGTGATGTGTGTGTCGTGTAAGCCTCACATCCCAACAGGGCATGGATTAACCTTTATAGGTTAAACTAAAACAAGATTTTTTGGCCTCCCACCTATCCTCGTTTCAGGACCAGGGGCGGCCCGTGAGCCTAGGTGAGCTAGGCAGTTGCTTAGGGTGCCACTGCCCCAGGCGCCCGATGATGACGTCAAGGGGCGCCCCGTGATGATGTCATGGTCATTGACAGCCATGCAGGCAGGGGTGACGATAGCGCTGCCCCACCTAGGGCACCAGCTGCTGCAACCGGCCTTAGGCCGCTCCTGTTCAGGACACAAGTTTGACACTGAATTTAACACACACATCTAGAATGAAAAGGCAGAGGATTTCATTACACTTTTACCTTTACATATTAGAGTTGGAATTTCCCAGGATCCACTGTAAGTACAACGCAATGTATTCCTCCCATTTATGCTGCGGAATCCCTTTTTACACTGGTAGTGCACTGTACTGCCCAGATGGGAAATGTTGCTCCAAATCATGTCTGTGTTGGGGATCGAAGGAGGTCGGCCACAGTCTGTTCCTGAAAAAGATCCAAAACAATTTTCATGAGCTAGTTAGTGTTAAGAAATTAGTTAAACGTAGTCACTGAAAGTGACCCCTTAGGACCATGCAACATCTAAAATCCATTAGGAAAGACAAGAATGCATCGTAAAAAGTGGCATTATGGGTTTTTTCTTCAATGGCTCCTTTTCATTAAAACAAAAACAAAAACAACCTGCACACAACTTTGTGCTTCTAAACTAAGCAACAAACTGCCAGCTTCGTACATTCAGTTTTGGACCTGAAAGTCAGCCTGGGTTCTCTACTGCTGGAGCATCACCACAACAGTACAGATTCTGCAAGTCGCCTTCTGCCCTCAGTTCTATCTTTGCAGCCCCAGGGCCTTTTCAACACAAGCCTCATGAGCAAGTCCGTTGATACGCAAGACCAAAAGGAATCCAGTTCTTTGTCCCACAGCTGTTTGGGTTCTGAAGTCACACTCAGAGCAAAAAGCAGCACATGTGAACCTCTTTAATCCTGCAGCCATGGGAAATAAGGTAAGTCAAGTTTCAGGAAATTTTATGGCTCATGGAAGGTGCTGGGACGGGATCTAGGAGGGAGGGTGGAAGGGTGCAAGAGAGGGGTTAGAGTAGAACATTTACCTGATGTCCCTGCAGCTGGGCTCTGCACCCCTTGAACCTCCCCTGCCATTTCCTTGCACCACCCCATGCTCTTGTGGGAGTGTCAGGGAAAAGCCCCCAGAGAAGCTCTTTGCTGCGCTGCCATTCCCCCAGCTGGGGTGCGGCGAAAGGGGACAAGCAGCATGCAGAGCCACTTCCTCCTCCCCCTGCCAGGGTCCATACCACAGATATTCCTTATTTTAAGAGGAATAAAGGATCTTTCGGAAAAGGCTTTATTTTCCGAAAGATCCCCGTCTAGACTGGCACTTTTTGCTGGCAAAGCTCCGAGCAGAAAAAAAGCGGCAGCCATGTTTATGCAAATGAAGCGGGGGGGATTTAAATCCCCACTTCATTTGCAATTGCAATGTGTCTAATTTGCTTCCCTTTTACGGAAAAGGGATGCAGTCTAGACACAGCCTCAATGTTTCCAGGCTATTATACCAAGTTCAGGAGTCTGATTTGTCTTGCTTACCCCAAACTGTGTCTCACTTAAAAACTACTTGCTTTCAAAATCAGATATAGACATACAAAAACATGATCACAGCACACTATTACTGAAAAATGGCTCCCTCTCTCATTTCTACCACGTAAATTATAAAATAAATCAAACTGGAATGTGAATATTGTACTTACATGTCAATGTATAGTATAAACAAGTCAGTCTGTATGAAATTTTAGTTTGAACTGACTTTACTTGCGCTTTTTATGTAGCCTTTTTTAAGTGGTAAAACTAGGCAAATATCTAGATGAGTTAATATACTCCCTAGAAGACCTCTGCATACCCCACAGGGTACACGTGCCCCTGGTTGAGAATCACTGGACTAGAGAATTAATACTAAAAACCATCATGATTTGTTGATTAATGGTTATTTACCAGGGATGTTAGATGTTGTTTAATTTTAATGTAATAACTGTGTAACCGCACTAAACTTTATCAGTTACATGATTATTCAGTAGGCCCTGGGGGCAGGGCCAGCAGCCAGTGAGCTCCTGGCCCCACTCACAGGAAGCCCTCAGCAGCCCTCACTGCTGCCTCTGAATCAAAAACCATATTTTTTGTATTTGAAAACACAAAATACTTGTATTTTTATTTTCTCTATTTAGAAACTGGGTCCCCATGAAACCGGCTCCTGCCAGCCGCCCTGCACTGTTGCCTCTGCAGCAGCAGCCCTTGCCCATGGGGGTCCTAAGCTCCATGCAGACAGAGGCTGCTCTGGCATCCCGCTTCCCACCCCACACTGCTGCCTCTGATATAGTGCTCGGACACAGAGGCAGTAGTGCTGGGGGGCAGACAGCTCTGCAGGAGTCAATGGGTGCAGGGGGGCCAGCTTGAAAGTTGGCTTCTTGCATGTACTGGTTCCCACCTGCCCCCCCTCCCCGCCCTCTGCACCGCTGCCTCTCTATCAGAGGCAGCAGTGTGTGTGTGGGGGGGAAGAACAGGTAGCTTGGCGGGAGTCAGTACTCATGGGGAATCAGCTTAAAAGTTGGCTCCCCATGGGCACTGGCTCCCAGCTTCCCCACCTTTGCTGCCTCTGATACAGAGGCAGTGGTGGGGGCGGGGAAAGTATGTGTAGTTGTTCAAATGATTAACCGATCAGCCCAGGCTTATCGGTTAATAGTTTAAACAACAATATGCCAACATATTTACTTTGTATATTTTGACATGTGATATTACTAATTTGTGTTTTCAGTTTACAAGTTTCTGAATCTCAACATCTGCCATTAAATAATTGCCTGGCACTCCCATAATTTCCCACAACTCTGAACATTTAAATCGATACAAACCAGAAAAATTACCACTTAAAAATCAGCATTGATATTATCTGTCAATACTAACTGAATTCCTCTGAGCCTACTTATTAGTCACTTTTAAGAACAAACCATACTTTAAGCAACTCTTGTTTGAATTTGAAATGAAGGGTCTTTAAATTGGAAGGAAAAGAATTCAAACATGCACTGAAACATATTTACCTTCGCATACACCAGTGATGTTTTCCCATTTCTGAATTTCTGTGCATTGTGAAAAATTCTTGTCTCCACTAAAATGAAACCCTTCACGGCATTTATAGTGCACCGTGCTTCCCAGAGTGGTGGAGTTGTCCCAGATCATTTCAGCATGTGGAATCCACAAAGGTCTGCCACAGTCTATTGCTGGGAAAAAAAACCAGGGAAGTAAAAACTGATGATGGAAACAAGCCAAGACACATCACAGGATTTAAAGAAGAGATGCCAATTGTTTCATCAAACCTCACTTCACTTGTTTACATCATCGTTATTATTTGGATCACCACAGTCCCAGGTCTAAGACCTTGCTGGTCGAGATTAAGAATGTTAAAATGAAGTTAATTGACTAGTCGATGGAATTTCCATCAACTAGTCAATAGGCACTTCTGCATTCCTCCTTTGAAATGCACAAGAGCTGGGGAATCCCCAGCTGACCTTGGACTCCACTGACCCTTTGAACACCGACTCCGTGTATTTCAAAGGGGCAGTGGAGCCCGGGATCAGCTGGGGACTCCCCAGCTGATTCTGGGCTCCTAGCAGCATGCAGTGCAGCATGGAACCTGGGGTCATCAGGGGACTCTGAGTCCCCCGCTGGCCCCGAGTTCCATGGCTTTGACATGCACAAGAACCCCCACTGGGGACTGTGTACATTTCAAAGTAGGCACATGCATGCAGCCTGGAGTCAGCGGGACTTCCCGCTGTCCCCAGTTCCATGGCTTTGACATGCACAAGAACCCCCGCTGGGGACTGTGTACACTTCAAAGTAGGCACACGCATGCAGCCTGGAGTCAGTGGGACTTCCCGCTGTCCCCAGGCTGTACGTGAAGTGCCGCATTCGTCCTTTGAAATGTACATATGTGAAGTGCCGCATTCGTCCTTTGAAATGTACAAGAGTCCCAGAGGAGGCTCTTGTGCAAAATAACATCTGAAAAATCATAAAAGCATCCAGAGGTTTGCTTTCCCCTGCTACTATATTTCATTCAAGCTTTCAAAGAGAAGAGTTGTTTTAGACCAGGACAAGGAAATCCCAGAGGAAAATTTCTACAAGTTATTCAAATCTCTAGGGAGATCATTAAAAAACTAAATGTGGTAATGAATTAAAATTGGTTCACATATTTAACAATAATAAAATTATGAATTTAAAATAATAAAAGAGAAAAGATCAAGTTAATGGAAGAATATAATTTGAAGCCAAAGAATGGTGCGAAATCCAAAGTGAATCCAGACACTATTCAGGATTACACTTTACTTTGTTAAAGAAAAGATTAATGGGAACCAATATTAAGAATTAAACCACATTTATCATAAGCAGCACAGGTGGAGGAGAGGAGAAAGCTAAAACTATTCACTGAAAAATGGCCTTAATGTAATTTTGAAGTGATACCTAGAAAAAGATGATTCTGTAAACTTAAGATTTAAGACCAAAACAACTTGCAGCATAAAACTTAAGTGAACATTAAAAGAAAAATATGTAGTAATGTAGAACAATTCCACTCTGACAGGTATCTTTCTGTCTCTACCTTGCTAAATACGTTCAAATTCAGAGCCTTCAGTCTGATACTGCATTACCGAAACAGAGGTTATGTCTACCTTACAGAGGTTTTCCGGGATACTCTTCTGCGTCCAGAGAACGCATCCACTTTTTCAGATCAGTTTCTGAAAAAGAGGGCGTGTTCTTTCGGAAGCCCTGCATTCCTCATTTTATGAGGAATAAGGGCTTTTCCGAGAGGGGAGGTTATTCCCACATTTGGACCGATGTAGATAGGCCAAATGTTGGAAAAGCCTCTTCCAAAAAAAAAATAGGAAAAAGGTACGCAAATTGCAGTTTGTAATTTGCATACCTTTTTCCAAAAAAAAAAAAAAAACACCTGCAGTGTAGACATAACCAGAGTGATGTGTGGCAGTCATTTAAGAAACAACAGTAAGTGAGGTTTTGGACAGGATGAACTATAAGCAAACCTTGCCTCAACCCACAGCACCACATCCAGCAAGGTTGAAAAGAAGAAACAAGACAGAAGTGTTTTCTGTCTATTTAATTAACCAAATCCTTTTTAGGTATCCGAACCCTGAATTAACACAAAGATATTGAGGCAGACTCCAAAATTAGAGGCACTTGTTAGACAGTAAGACGGAAATACTGGGTAGGTGCATTTATGCACAGACTAAACTTCATAACAAGGAACAGAAGGATTAGCTACGCAGAATCAGTTTCATGACGCTTTAATCCTGTAGTGATTAGAAGAGTACAACTGTGCCAAGCTAAAGAATAAGTAAAGATCATAATTAAGCATAAGGGAATAGCAGTTTAAAAGAAGAGTTAATAAAGACTCTGAGTGGCTTTAAACTGGAAGTCTGTCATAACGCGCACGCGTGCACACACTTATTCTTGTTTACCTCAATATGAACTTGACAAGCCACATCTCTCTACCCATAAAAACAAAGGGTTTTATGGTTTATGTCAACATTGGTCCCATAGTTACGGTTAGCAGCTGACAACAGTCTAGACCTGTGACTTTCAAAAGGATCAAAAGTGACAGCAATGTTTACATGTCTAAGCAGTATCAGCAAGCCCGCAGATGGCTAAGATCTTGCAATTTCTTAGGCATGAGAATAAGCAGTATCAGCAGGCCTGCAGATGGCCAAGATCTTGCAATTTCTTAGGCATGAGAATAGTTTCACTCACGTGAACAGCCCTATATAAAGTCAACTGGACTTCTCATGTGAGTAACTTTATTCACATACCAAAGCAATTGCAATATCTGGTTCCAAGCCACACCAGATCCTTCGCTTAGCTTAACCACAGAAATATCTTCCATTCAAACAGAGTTTTTTACACCTTTAGAAAATCCAAAAACAAACATTTAGGTGCCAAAGAATCAAAAAGTGAAACCAACCAGCTGAATTTCAGCATCAAGCCAAACAAAATACAAAAACGTAGATTTAGGCCCAGATTTTAATGGTATTTCATCACTGTTGTGCTCAGCTTTATAAAGCTTAACTGATATAGTAGCCTAGATCTCATTTTTCAAAAAGGTCTTAGGCACGTAGGCATCTACATTCCATTGATAGTAGGATTGAGACTCCTAAATCCCTTTCATTTACAAGAGGTAGGCTCTAACGCCATTAGCGATTATGACGCTGAGCACAGCAATGCCTAAATACCTTCAAAAAATCTGGGACACAGTGCCAGACCCTAACACAGTACAAAACAGTGTAGGGTTCTGGGCCTGCAGAGATTTACACCAGCTGAGACAGTGACATTTTGGTTTTAAAGTCCTTTATACTTTATGGTCTTATTAACAAACACAAATAAGAAAACTATTTAACCAATGGCTTCTATTTTGTGAGTACCCTGTTAGAGCCTGCAGGTGACATTTTCAATCAGACAATGGGGAAGTCTCATTGATCGTCTCTTACAACTTGTCTATATTTACTGGAGGATCGAGTAAAGACCCGCTAAATCAAACACTGGGTGCTCCCGTCAACTGTGATACTCGTTCGTTGCAAGGAGTAAGGGAAGTTGACAGGAGAGTTTCTTCAGTTGACCTCCAGCTGTGGGGCCACTACAGAAAAATCGATGTAAGGTACATCGACTCCAACTATGCAATTGTCATAGCTGGAATTGCATATCTTACATCGATTTTCTCTGCCAGCATAGACTTGGACTAAGTGGTGACGGTTACTTTTGAAATAATGTCTATCATACAAGAAATCTGTATGTTTATTTACTTTACCTTTGCACACCAGATCAGCACCTTCCCACTGTCCTTTTGCATTACAAACTGCAGTCTGGTTTCCACTTTCAATAAGGTAACCATGTAGGCAAATATAAGCAACTTCACTTCCATAGGTGGTGCTTCTTAGAGGCGCTGAATATGCATTCAAGATGGAAGGTGGGACCCCACAATCCACAGCTACAAGCAAAGATGGAAAGGGGGCATGGGAGGAGAAAAACCACACACTGACATTAGAAATGACAGAACACAAAAGAGGTTCATAGCCACAGCATGAGGCCTTCCCATTTAAAATAAGAATTGAAATGACTTCACAGGTATAAAACCCATGCTCTGCTACACCTGTCTGAAGTGTAAAACAAATGCATTGTCCTGTATCTGCAATACACAAGGCATTAAACACAGCAGAAAGTGGCACAAAAGAGTCCATCTCTTTGATCCAATGCCTTGCACTTATTTATTTTTAGTGTACATAAGAACATAAGAGCGGCCGTACTGGGTCAGACCAAAAGTCCATCTAGCCCAATAGCCTGTCTGCTGACAGTGGCCAGCACCAGGTGCCCCAGAGGGGGTAGACTGAAGACAATGATCAAGCAATTCGTCTCCTGCCATCCTTCTCCAGCCTCTGACAGAGGCCAGGGACACCATTTCTATCCCCTGGCTAATAGCCTTTTATGGACCTAACCTCCATGAAATTATCTAGTTTCTCTTTAAACTCTGTTATAGTCCTAGCCTTCACAAAAAGCCTTACAAAAAGAGCGAGAGAGAGACCATATTTAGGTTTGGATCAGTTACAGTGTAACAGGCTGCCCATATTGCTTCCCGGACCCTATCACCGCTCACAAAACTGCCCTCTCCCGTCACAGAACTATGCAGCAGTAATTTCAAATCAATTCTGATCATTCACTCCAAAGGAAAGTTATAAACTTCAAAGACAAATTACATCCTCATCTGATGAAATGGGTTTTACCTAATAAATTTGTTAGTCTCAAAGGGTGCATCCACACAGCACCCTAAACTCGAAATAAGCTATGCAATTTGCGCTACCTAAATTGCGTATCTTATTTCGATTGTATTTCAAAATAGCTTATTTTGAATCTACACAGTGCCAAATTTCAAAACAATGTGCTATTTCGAAAAATCCCTTCAGCCTCGTAGAATGAGAGTTACAGAGATGCCGGAATAGTACGCCCGTTATTTTGAAAAATATTTTGAAATAATGGATACATTTAAAAGACGCAGGGTAACTATTTCAGGATACCTCTGGTATCTCGAAATAGCCCCGCTGTCTAAATGTACCCTAAGGGTGTGTCTACACTGCACCATTGTTCAAAATAAGATACACAATTTGTGTAGCTCAAATTGCATTTCTTAGAACATAAGACCGGCCATACGAGATCAGACCAAAGATCCATCTAGCCCAGTATCCTGTCTGCCAACAGTGGGCAATGTCAGATGCCCCAGAGGAAGTGAACACAATAGGCAATCCTCACGTGATCTTATTTCAAAATAACTTATTTCATAATTTAGCGGTGTGTTCCAAATAACCTGCTATGCCAGTGGTCCCCAACCATTAGAGGCTGCCGGGCACCAGGGGGTGTGGCCATTCACCTGCCGGGCGCCGGAGGGCGGGGACACATGCATGCCCGGGGCGGGCCCCCCCATAGCCGCGTGCTTGGGGCCGCGCACCCGGGGCCGGGCCCCCCCATGCGCCACATGCCCGGAGCCGGCGCTCCCCCCAAGCGCCGCGCGCCCAGAGCGTGGGCGGCCAATTGGCGGCGCTCCCGGGGCCGGCACTTACCATGCGCCCAGGGCCGGCTCCGGCACCATGCATGCACCACGTGCCTGGGGCCAGGCCAGCCCCGAGCACTTGGCGGGCGCACACACCGTGTTGGGGACCACTGTGCTATACCAAAACGTCTCTTACTCCTCGTAGAATGAGGTTTAAGGGAGGTCAGAATAGCAAGCCCAAAATAATGAGCTTGCTGTGAAGATGCGGGATAGCTATTTCCGGATACTCCGTTGTCCTGAAATAGCGTTGCAGTGTAGACATAGCCTAAGGTGCCACACACAGGACTGCTCGTTATCCTCATCCAGATATTTAAATCAGAAAGGATCTGTGCCATTTAAAATATTCTGGTGAAAAAAATTTTTGTGTTGTGTTTGTACAGCACCTTGCAGAATAGAGTGCTAGTCCACTACTAGGCCTCCTAGACAATTCAAATAATTAACAACAACATAATAGCAGTGGCTGCCTGGGATTACACCTGCTATGAAGTCTGGCACAGTTGAACTAATATCCAGTATAAGCTTGATCAGAGAAAATACCGTGTAAAGTTGTCATATGAAAAAACACTCAAGTGTAGTTTGTGAATAACGTTTGTGAATTCTTGGGCTTCCTGAACAGAAACAGATTGCAATTGGTTGGGGAAACATATCATGATTGAGATGCTTGTGACTTGATATGGTCAAAGAGTCACCAATGGAGTTTTCAGAACCTAAAGAATGTTTTAAATGGCTCTGTTACTAATAAGTAAGAAGCCAATTTGGCTAATGGTTCAGAAAGGGACACTTGCAATAAAAAGGAGAAATCGTTTATCTTTTCAGATTTTGAACAGTTATGTCAAGAGAAGACAGCTCTTGCTACTGAAACTAGTTTTTAGCAAGAAATGGACACCACAAGTTTATATTCCACGGATAGATTATATAGAAAACAATTATTTTGGGAAGGGGAAGAGATGTCAGAAACGTATTGGCAAAAGCTACGTTCTGAGGAAGCCATAGCTGGTATTCTGTTTGACACAAACAATCAAAAAGATTAAAAACTTGCCTAAAAGCAAGATACCAGATGTGCCAAAAATGCTGTTCAAATGGTGGGTTTTTTTAAAAAAAGACAAACGTACTGGCATTTCACAAGAACTGCCTCTTATAATTTTTTTGTTTTTTTTTTAAAGACAAACGTACTGGCATTTCACAAGAACTGCCTCTTATAAATGGGCCTCTCTTTGAAGTGACTGTACCAGGGTTTGTGGGCTTTTTTGTTTTTTGGTTTATTTGTTTTGGCTGAAGCTCATTCTTTACTTTTCTTTGGGGAAAACAAAAACTGACTGTGATTAAAGATTACCCAGCAATACCATGGCCTTACATTTTGTTACTTACAACTAATATCCACTGTAAAGCTTGAAGAACAGTCAAGAACAATTTTATCTTCAATTGCCTGGAATTCTTTTTCTGTCCTGTAAATTAAACCTGTTTATACTTAACCTTTCCCAACTATATTACTGTGGGCATCTTTATTCTTAAGACACCAACAAGCTGCCTCAGAAAACACCTCACAGATCAGAAACCCAAATTGCTGTGTTCAGAGGTTAAAAAAAAAAACAAAAACAAAAAAACTTACCTATATTAACTGATTTTTTTAGGCACTCTGCCTTTTGCTTTCCTCCCATCTGCTGCCAACGAACACTTCCAGTTTCACACACCAATGAAAGGATGCTCAAGTTATCCCAGGAAATAAAGAATTCTACCCTAGTAAGTAACAGTATTTTAGCGTGAAATCTGATGGAGCTGGTTAGTCTGTCACCAATGCCAAGTGGAAAGGTTATGGAGTTACAGGAGATACCATTTGTTATCGAGATCCGATGACAACCCAGACCAAGCACAAATCTTTTGGAGGTGGTTTCTCAGAGTCGCTCTCCTTCCTGGAGCTACTGGGGGAAGATCACAAGTGGCTTGACACCCTACGAGAGTCGCAAAGTGGATTAGACCCAGCCCCCACAGATCTTCAGAAAAATGGATGGCACCCAACTAAGTCAGTGGTCTCTTCTCATTTGATAGCCTCTTCCTCAGATAAGAGCATTTGTGATGCATGTATGCAAAATACTACAGAAATACTTTGAGCTAGAGAGGACAGAAGCACAGTGCTCAGCATGTTAAAATAGCAGCAAAACTTAGGGAGGGAGATTGACAGAGGGCAGGGGATGGGAACTCGGTCGCCTCAAGCCCCTCCTGGAATTTCTTCACATGCCCCCGGGGGATGGGAACTCGGTCGCCTCATGCCCCTCCTGGAATTTCTTCACATGCCCCCAGGGGGGCACGTCCCCCCAATTTGGGAACCCATGATTCTAGTGGATTTCAGCATCAAAGGACAACGAGCAATACATTAACAGGTACAATACAATAATGGGTGCGGCACAAGAAGCAAAGAGCTCAATCAAAATCTCTGTTAGGGATATAAATAATGTTTTAAAAAAGTCAGTGTGTAAACTATTAACATTTTACCAGTTAATAATTTAACCATTATGCTCTGCTGCCTCCCCTACATGCCCAGGGTCCTGGCTGTTGCCTCTGAATGCCAGGAGGCTCCATTTGCTGCCAGCCCTCTGCCCAGGGTCCCAGCTGCCACCATGTGCCCAGGGCTTTGCTGCTTGCAGGGCATCAGGGATCCCACGAGTATGTGTGTGAGTGAGAGAGAGAAAGAGAGGCAGCCAGGATCCGGGGGAGGGAGCAGCAGCTGGGCCTATGTTGCTGGACCAGGACTGGAATCCCACAGCTGAGTTTAAATGTGAACTGGTGGCCTATGTTGCCGGACCCGCACTGGAATCCCACAGCTGAGTTTAAATGTGAACTGGAATTCCTTACTGGGAGCACTAATGCTTATCAGTCAACATTTTCCATCCCTGATCTCAGTCCTGTTTTTGAGGAGTGGGACCGGACACACACACCACAGAATCAGCGAAGCCTGAGGATGGGGTGGAACCTGAGGTGTCAGTAGAGGAGGAGAAGGAAGCTGGGGCTACCTGTACGGGTTGGCCACAGAATGAGGAAAACCAGGATTCAGTTATCAAGATGCATCTTCATAAACATAAGCTTGGGCCACCAATGCGATGGCTAAGGTGCTGGAACATGCCTCTGGAGACTGACGGCACACAAACTCGGGCTCTAAAGCCAGAAGGGATCTCTGAGATCATGTCTGACCTCCCGTAGACCAGAGACCACAGAACGTGCCTGAAATAATTCCTGTTTGAACCACAGCAGAGCTTTTAGATAAAATATCCAACCCCAGTTTACAGGTTCTCAGCAACAGAGACTCCACCACAAGTCTTGGTAAGCTGTTCAAATAGTTAGCTACTTTCACTGTTTAAAAAAGCATACAGGTTGAACTGCTATAAGGATTCAATCTTAAGGACCTGACTGGTTCTGAACCAGAGAATTTGCCAAACCACGGGAGGTCAATATCGTCTAGCGGCATTACCCACACTTCCCCTGCTCACTGGGATCTTAGAAGACATTTGGGGCAAATTAAAACTAAGTTACAGCACAGAACACAGAGCCAGGACTGGTGGCTGCAAACAAACTTTATGGAACTACGAGCAACTTGGTCACACCCATGATAAGTGGACACTTGACTAATTCAAGTCATGTCACACCAGGAATGTTGCTGGACCAGACAGTGTTGGACTAGAGAGATTTTCAACCTGTACCTTGTTTCTAGTCTGAATTTGTCCTGCTTCAAATGCCAGTCACTGGATCTTGTTACACTTTGTCTGCATGTTGGTTTTGTTGTAAAGACAACACAATTATCCTCAAAGGGAGATAGAAATTTCAGAGCCACAATATTCCTGGCTGATGAATGTTTTTAATTATGCCACAGCCAATATTCACCTGCTGACTGATTGTTAATCAGCAATATTCTCCTAGCTTCCTCCACCAAGGATTAATCAACCTCAAAAATAAAAGTACTGAGTGCCTCTGGTTCCCCAGGCATGTGATAGAAGCAGCAGCATTTGTTAAGGGCGGAAGCCTTATTGTAGAGAGGCTGAAGTTAAACAATGTTCCTCTCAATGAAAGCTCACTGGCCTAGCTTGCCTGTCATGGCAATATTTCTTTGTGAACAGTCTTCTGAGTCACCCTGCTTTCCAGTGAGAGGGCCCACTGGTGGAGTATGAGGAACATATTTACTTTAAAAAAATATATAAGCTATAGAGTCAATTAATTTATTTAAATTATTCAGCTAGGGCATCAGGGAAGTCAATGTGATATGCAGGTTATCAGCACCTCTGAAAATCAGGCAGCATAGAGAAATCCTAACTTGAAATACCCAACTCAATACACGACTACAAGCAATGAGCAGCCCCGTGGTGTTTTAGGGACAAACAAATGGAAGTGCTCTTTGTTGCCAAAATGTTGCAAGACTATGTAAGTGAGAACACGAGGTAGTGGCAAGTTTGTTCTGTAATCTCTGGCTGTGCACTTCAGCTTGGATAGATGGGTGCAGGAGAGGGAGATGAACAGGTAACCATACCCGGGTGCAGCCCACTCAGGCAGAGGACTGCTCCAGCCCTGTGGAGCTGCAGGCTCCTAGCCCATGCAAGCTGAGAGTTGGCAGCCTCACACGGGACTGGAGGTGGCAGCCTGGAAGAGTGGGGCCAGAAGCAGCCCACAGTACAGAGGCCACTCCAGCCCACCCCTGTTTAATCAGTTAACCGGTTAAGATTAAGGTTTAACCAGTTAACCGATTAAAGAGGATTTTACATCCCTAGTGCAGGACAGGGCTTTTGTGGATTGCTACTGTCGTGTGTATCAGATATAGAACTGCAATTCTAACAGATACTGGAGAAAAGAAGAAGAGGGACGACAGAGGAGTATTTATTTCAAGTTCAGATTCATAAGGGTTTATGCAAGAATAAACTACTGTTTGGGGAGGGAGGCTGGCATACACCAGAATACGTTATCAAAAGCCTAATTCATTATTTTATTCCTCTCTCTCAGGCTTATTGTATTCACTTGATCTTACTCAAAAGCTCTTTATCCCCCCCGCTTCCCTTCCCCTTAAAGCAGTAGTCCCCAACGCGGTGCCTACGGGTGCCATGGTGCCTCTCGGGACATATATGTGTGCCCGCTGAATGATCTGGGCCGGCCTCCGCCCCCGGTGCATGTGCGGCGCCGACCCCAGACACATGGCGCATGGGCGGCCCTGTCCCCAGGTGCATGGCACATGCACACTGCTGGCCCCGGGCGTGCAGCGCATGGGCGGCCCGGCCCCCAGACGCGCGGTGCATGAGCGGTCACGCCCACGGGTGCCCGGCAGCCCCAAAAGGTTGGGGACCACAGCCTTAATGCAACACAATTATGCAAATAGGATATGGCAGATTTCTTCTTTACTCAGAAACTAACCATATCACCTACATGGCACATTTAAACTTCTCCAGCCTTGCATACTCAAACCACTGCTGAGAGCCTATAACAGGAGTGGGCAAGCTATAGCCCATGGGCTGCATCCAGCCCATCCAACCTTTAGGAATACCAGTCCAGCAGCACAGTGGGGCTAAGGCTGGCTCCCTGCCTGCTGTGGCTCCATGCCACCCCCCCAAAGCAGCGGACGCCCCTTACAGCCCATGAGCAAGAGGGTTCCGTGCACTGCCCTTGTCAGCAGGCACTGCCCCTGCAGCTCCTATTGGCCAGGAATGGGGAACTGCAGAGCTGCAACCAATGGGAGCTAAGAGGTCAGCACCTGCAGGCGAGGGCAGCACATATAACTGCCTGCCCAACCCCAGGAGCCACTGCCAGACATGCCAGCCCCCTCCGGGAGCAGCTGGGGGCCAGGGCTGGGCGGGGGGAGCCCGCCTTAGCCCTGCTGTGCCACCACCTGGAGCTACCCATGGTAGGCAGGACCCACACCCAAACCCCTCCCATACTTCAAACTCTGCACTGAGCCCTACACTCATTGCCCACCATACGATTTCCCTACCCAGAGGTGGACCTTGGGCCAAAAAGTTTGCCCACTACGGAGTTTTTCTGGGATATTGGAAGTATCCTGGAAAAACTCTGCTGCGTCCAGGGAATGCATCTGCTCTTCTGAAATTTTTTTTGGAAGAACAGACGGGCTCTTTTGGAAGCCCTGTATTCCTCATTTTATGAGGGATAAGGGCTCTTCCAAAATCTTCCGATAGAGGAGGTTTTTCCAACATTTTGCCCCGTGTAGATGGGCCAAACGTCAGAAAAGCCTCTTCCGAAAAAAAGAAGTTGCAGTTCCCAATTTGCGCACCTTTTTCCAAAAAAATCCAGCAGTGTAGACATAGCCATAATGATGCAGAGCCAACCCAAGCGTTGATGAGACAAGTTAAATTCACAAAAGCAAAAGAGTAATACAAAGGGCTCTGGCGTTGGAAACTCAAAACTATGGGTGAGAGCATGTACCGCCATAGATCTGATTGTAGCTGTTAGTATGAACATCACCCACTGGCTCTCACCTTTGCACGAAACAGTGTTCCCAGATGGATGAAAAAATTCTGTTCCATTTTCTGGTCTGTACCCTTCCATACAAGAGCACTTGTAGCTTCCAACAGTGTTCACACATCGTCCCCCAGCACCGCACAGACCAGGCACCTGGCACTCGTCTATATCTAGAAACCCAGACCAAACGTTACAAGCTTGTTAAGTGGCTTTCCTCTTACGTCTCAATTCTGCAACGTACCAAGTGTATCCTAGAAGGTGTGAAGCATCCTCAACTCCCATTAGCTTCACTGGAAGGCAAAAAAGTCTGCATCTTTAACATTAATTTTAGTTACCACATGGCAAAACAGACACTATAGTCTCCACTCTAATTCATATTCCTGACCTGGAAATACTCAGCAGTATCTGTATTTTTAATCAATAAAAACCGAACAGTCATTGCTCCATGGAAATCAACACTTCAGCTGAAGCAGAATATTCCATAGTGAACAAAACTGACATGCAAGGAAAAATATGGAAGTGGAAAGAAGGGCTATCATCCCATTGTCTTAATTTCTGGTTTCATTTTGCCACTCACTTTTATACAAACAGAGTGTGAATTGTTGCTACAAGAGTGTAAAACATCAGAAAACATAATGGGGCAATGACAAGCACTAGATATGGTTGCAAATGTTTGCAAGACTGGGATGCAGGTTAGGTGTAAGTGAACAGTAACCGCTTTTACATAGTATCAAAAATAAAATCAATGTGACTGCAAAGAAACATCCGCATTTGTCATAGAAAATGGATTATGAAGCACCAGATCCCTAGCATGTGATCCAAGTTGCGGTATTTACCTGTACAGTATGTGCCATCATTGGGAATAAATGTCTTGTTGTTGTTAGAAGGATGGTAGCCTTCGAGACAAATGCAGTAAAAACTTCCATGTGTATTATGACATGATGTGTGCTCACCACAGATCTTGCTCGCCCCAATCTGGCATTCATCTTTATCTGTTGACGTATTCAAAACATGTCAGAGATTAAAAATCAAATCGAACCTTTCACTGTCAAGCAGCCTTCTCCTTACCATGTTTTTTCCCTAATTTGTTAACTCTGTAAATACCTGCCCATTAGCTACAGCACTTTGCAGCTATTGTTTTAATACAGGCTATCACCACTTCCACTGGACATCCCTGATTCACTTACTATTCCAGCCACATGTGATGCACAATATGAAAAGGGAGCCAACATGGGTGAGAAAATCTCTTTTATTAGACCAACTTCTACTGCAGAGAGAGAGAAGCTTTTGAGCTGCACTGAGTTCTCCAAGTCTGTACAGCTCTGTCACAACAGCAGTGGCCCGTAAAAAGAGATCCTACCCACCTTGTTTCTCCAATATCCTGGGATTAACACACCTACAAGCAGCACTGCAAGTGCTAAAGAGACAACGCCAACTTTATATCATTTTTATTGGAAACAGCTAATATGTTATTAACACCCACCTATGAACATTAGAACTGGAAGAATTTTAAAAATTATCATCTGTGATGAGAGACCTGAATAATTTAGTAAAATCCATCTCAATTTCAATTTAATCTCAATTTTGTTTATAGTCAATTTCATTTTCTGGTCCTCAGTGAAGTAATGTCTGGGTAGCAAATGATGAATGGGCGTGTTTTGTTTTGTTTTTTTTAATTTCCACTGAATTTATTTTTTTTTGTAAAACCATCAAACATCCTAGAATTTAAAAAAAGGACGTAAATGATGAAACGAAACATCCCCCACCCCTGCCGCGGTTAACCGTTATGTTGGCATTCTTGGTTTTGAGAAACTGTCAAGTGTGAACACAGGCCTTTTGTGAAGAACTTGGTGATATTAACCAGGATCAAACATTTGGGTACATTCTCGTCCGCACTGTTTGTTCGTCTGTGCCATGGGCAGCAGGTATGCTAGGCGAGGGGAGGCACTGCCTTCTCAAACCACCAGCCTAGCTCTGCCCCTAGAACACCTGTCATAGGCATTCTGGGGGCGGAGTGCTGCTGTCCCCCACCCCCAGCACCCGCCCTCCCGCTGCTGGAAAGGCTGGGCAGCCTGGCGCACCCTCCTCCCTACCCAGGTGCTGGGGCTACACTGAGGCGCAGCTCTCCCTGCCTCCTTGCTCCCACAAGGCTGGGCTGGGCTGTGCAGCACACCTTGCTCCGGGGCTGGAGAGGCTGCGGTGAGTGCACACCCACTCCCCTCCCCTCTCCATGGTCGGAAGGGGCAGTATGTGCGTGTCACGTCACCTCCTCCTCCCGGGGGGGAGGGCCTAACAGAAGAGGGTGGGGCTGGGAGCTTGCCTCCTCCAGTCTAACCTTCACCAACCACCCATGGTCTGTGGCAACCCAGAGTTCAAACCTACAGTGCTTTAGCCTGCTGCACATTAAACTGGCCTTGTAGGCCATGCGGCTATTCCACAGTGCACTCTGACGAGCCTACGTACACAGCAGAACTTGGGAGTGCCTTGTTGCAGAGTCCACATAGCCACATAGCGTGGGCCAGGCTGGAGCACTACAGATTTACACCTGGATTGATGTACAGCAGTTCCCTGTAAGCTGGGAACTTGAGCGGCAGCTCAGGAGATTCAAAAGCTGATTGGCAGAGCGCCCACAGCTAAGATGTGTTTCTACTGGTGGTGCACGTGTCTTGGTGCACGTTTATTCTGCACATGAATGAAAAAGATGAGCGGGAACATTACTGTACAGTAACACAGTGTGTAGACAAGCCCTAAGACACTGCACGTGCTCCTAAAGCATAGCCTACCTTGACAATGAGTCCTCCCGTTACCCACAAAGCCATAGTTACAGATGCAGACGTTTTTGCCGTCTTTTTGTTGACACGTGGCATGAGCATGGCAAGTGGCACAGACATCCAGGACTGAACTATTTGTTGCTGCTTGAAGAAAATAAAGAGTTACAAAAAATGCCAAAGATGTGGTGTGCAGATCAGCTCAGTGAATGGGGGAGGCAGCAATTAGAGTTTAATACATGGCTAAAACTTCAGAGGGAATCCTTTGAAATCAAGTCCCAAGTCATATCCTAGTTTGAAGCAAAAATTCAATCCATTATAAGAAAACTGGGAGAAGTGGGAGTGAACTGAACATCATAGCACATGGAACATGGCATTCCTAAATGAGACTAGTTGGCATAATCCAACTGATAATCTTTGGGAAGAACAAATTGTCCTATGTAGGGATGTCAACATGTAGGCGAATATATGATTAACCTATAAGCTTGGGCTTATAGGTTAATCTTATCAACTACATGCACTTCCTCCCCATGATTAACCTATAAGCTTGGGCTTAATCTTATCAACTACATGCACTTCCTCCCCCAGGCTGCCTCTGTATCAGAGGCAGCAAGGGGGGGGAGGAGGTGGGAGCCGGTGTCCATGCCCAAAAGCAGCGGATCTGCAGAGGCATTTGTCCCCCACCCCCAGCACAGCAGCCTCTGATAAAGAGGCAACAGTGCGGAGTGGGGAGGGCAGGCAAGGGCCAGTATACATGGGAAACCAGCTTTCAAGCCAGCTCCCCATGCATATCAGCTCCTGCAAGCTGCTTGTGCCCCCCACCCTGGCACAGCTGCTTCTCTGAGGCAGCAGTGCGGTGGGATAGGTGGGAACCGATACACATAGGGAACCAGCTATTAAGCCAGCTCTCCTCGTGTGCCAGTATTAGGAAATTCTACTAGGCTACTTGCCCAGGATAAGAAATCTTCTTTTGACAAGTCAATAAACTCCCCCCTGAGCTATCATCACGGTAACCGAACAGAGGAGCAATTTTTTGCCGGGTTAGTAAATTTCTATGTTCAGTTTTGCACGGGTGAGCTACATCATGGCATTTGTATTTTGCACGATGGGCTGAACAATACCATAATGAAAACTTTTATACAGCTTCACCATGAGTTTGACTTGCCTGAACATCAGACTGACAAATGCATCTTTACTACACTAAAAGCAAAAATGTAAAACAGCTCTTGAAAACCATCCAGTTTGTTCTATACTAAATCAACTGTGCAAGATTCTTCATGAGAATTCTAACAACTGTGTGATGCTGTACAACCCCCTAGAGCCCAACAAAAGCCTGATTTTTCTGACAATTCAGTAGGATTATATCATATGCAGGCAGAAATGTATTTTTAAAATTGCCCATGATAACTTGATGGATCTTCATACGAAGGCAATTCAGTTTTATACTATCTACCATATAAACTGGGATCTGACAGAATTTCCTGTATGTGCTGCCATGAAAACCTACACAGGATTAGTTACTTTTGAGACAGGGAGCTCAAAAGAATTAAACTTTGCTCACAACTGTGACAAACCATTTTCATTTCCATTTGTGGTCTAATGTAGGTGCTATTTTTCAACTTTGTGCGCTCTCCATTATGGCTCTTTGGTGGTCATTTAGCACCATTTTGACAGGCTACTGATTACCTGCCATCATCTTCTATAATGCTGCTGGTAAGTGACTAAGCCAATCTTCAATCAGCAAATCCAATTACAGATGCCATATAAAAATCCATCCGCAGGGTGTTATGAATTCTTTTCCCATCCTATGTTTTTCTTGTCACATCTGCACATGTTAACTCTCGAAGCAGTTGAGAGCCTGTGCAACAGGTTTGCCACCAGAACAATCTTCATCATCTTCTATAATGCTGCTGGTAAGTGACTAAGCCAATCTTCAATCAGCAAATCCAATTACAGATGCCATATAAAAATCCATCCGCAGGGTGTTATGAATTCTTTTCCCATCCTATGTTTTTCTTGTCACATCTGCACATGTTAACTCTCGAAGCAGTTGAGAGCCTGTGCAACAGGTTTGCCACCAGAACAATCTTTCCTAGGCTAGGATTTCCAGGTCACCGGGAGATATGCCGCATGACTTCACACGGCCTTTAAGACATCTTTATAACACTCTGACCACCAATAGAGCGCTTTCCGCAAACAAGCTGACTATAGAAGACCATCTTCTGTATCCGTGTATGATCCACCCTCATAACATGACCAATCCAGCAAAACCTTTTGTTCATAAGCATGGCCCCCATGCACATGACACCACACAACTTTGGGATCTCTGTGTTTATAATTTTGTCCCACCAATTTGCAGGGGCAGTCTTCTGAAGGCAGCATATATGGAGCTAATCAAACTTTGAAACATGGTGGCGACATATGGTCCATGACTCCAAGCCATGCAGCAGGATATTCAGGACAACTACCTGATAAAGGGTTACCATCATATGAAGCTTGACACCATGATTATTCAATAGATTTGGCTAGTTGAGCAGTTCAACATTTATACTGGAGGACAGTATGCTTCCAAGGTAGCAAAACTTGCCAACAGCCTTAAGAACAGCATCAGCTGCAGTGACCACTGGTGTGTTGGGCTCTTTCCAAACACCGGTACACAGCCTCTGTCTTCATGAGGCTCACAGTGAGTCTTAAATGGTGAGCAGAGGTATCAAAATGATCAAATGTCCCACGCATTCTCAACTGAACAAGCCAATAATGCAAAGTCATCAGCAAACAGGAGGTCATGGATAGTTGTAGTGAACATTTGAGACTCACACCAAATTCTTTGACAATGCTGCTGTCAGTTCAAAACTGACTAAGTATGCCCAACGTGAAATCCTTGAAAGCAGCTAACAGCATCATTGAAAAGTAGACGCAGAACAGGAGAGAAGTAAGGACACATAAGAACGTAAGAACATAAGAACAGCCATACTGGGTCAGACCAAAGGTCCATCTAGCCCAGTATCCTGTCTGCCGACAGTGGCCAACACCAGGCGCCCCAGAGAGGGTGGACCGAACACAGCGATCAAGCGATTTGTCTCCAACCATCCCTCTCCAGCCTCTGACAAACAGGGGCCAGGAACACCATTTCTATTCCCTGGCTAATAGCCTTTTATGGACCTAACCTCCAGGAAATTATCTAGCTTCTCTTTAAACTCTGTTATAGTCCTAGGCTTCACAGCCTCCTCTGGCAAGGAGTTCCACAGGTTGACTACATGCTGTGTGAAGAAGAACCTTCTTTTATTAGTTTTAAACCTGCTACCCATTAACTTCATTTGTTGTCCTCTAGTTCTTCTATTATGGGAACTAATAAATAACTTTTCTTTATTCGCCCTCTCCACACCACTCATGATTTTATAGACCTCTATCATATCCCCCAAGTCTCCTCTTTTCTAAACTGAAAAGTCCCAGTCATTTTAACTTCCCTTCATAGGGGACCCGTTCCAAACCCCAATCATTTAGTTGCCCTTTTCTGAACCCTTTAGAAGGCCAAAATATCTTTTTTGAGGTGAGGAGACCACATCTGTACACAGTATTCAAGATATGGGCATACCATAGTTTTATACAGGGGCAGTAAGATACTCTGTGTCTTATTTTCTAGCCCTTTCTTAATAATTCCTAGCATCCTATTTGCCTATTTTTCTTGACCGCCGCTGCAAACTGTGTGGAATGCTCTCCCAAGATACGAGGAGATTGGAAAGCACAAATTAATCCACAGAAATACGTTTTTTATATGGTACACAGCAACATCATTCATTGCTTGAAGCTCCATCTAGTACCTCATGAATGGTTGGCACAACAGAACAAGTAACCTTAACTTGAAATGTCCCTGCATTTGCCTATTTAAATCATACCTTTCTTAAATATTCCCAAGTACAATTTTGTTTGTAAAACTTTGAATATAATAAAACCTCAAAACTATGAGAGTCCCTGTATTAAACCAAATCACTTAATGCCATATATTGTTCAGAAAATTAGAATTTAAAAAAATATTTACAAACTATATACTGATGGAGGAAGTTACTTGTACTGAATTATGTTACAGTAAAGCTCCACTTAAAGCAACTGTTAAAATTGACTAATTTCCAAAAAATCCAGTTATGATCTGTTTTTTCCCCAAAATTTGAAAGGGCTTTCTGTTCTTCTGTAGATGTTGTTAAGGGCCTTTTCAATAAGGGATAAATTGACTGTACCAAGGGAACATTACGAACTATCTCTGTAACGGTGTTTGCATAAACTTAACGAACAGGAAAAAAACTTGTGACAGACTAACTTGGCCACCCCTCTGAGGCAGGAAAAAAAAAGTCATTCGCAATGGTGAGACAAGAGAACCAGGACAGTTCCTCATATTCATCAACCACAAAGGACGGTGTAGATTTGGGAATCTCCCTAACGTCCTCTGCCGTGAAGATTGAAGAAAAGAAATCATTTAGTTTCTCCGCAATGGCTTTATCATCCTTGATTGCTCCTTTTGTATCTTGATCATCTAGGGGACCCACTGGTTTTTTAGCAGGCTTCCTGCTTCTGATGTACTTAAAAAACATTTTGTTATTACCTTTTGAGCTTTTGGCTAGCTGTTCTTCAAACTCCTTTTTGGCTTTTCTTATTACATTTTTACACTTAATTTGACAGTGTTTTTGCTCCTTTCTATTTACCTCACTAGGATTTGACTTCCATCCTTTTAAAAGATGCCTTTTTGTCCCTCACTGATTCTTTTACATGGTGGTTAAGCCACGATGACTTTTTTTTAGGTCTCTTACTATGTTTTTTAATTTGGGGTTTATATTTAAGTTGGGCCTCTACTATGGTATCTTTGAAAAGTTTCCATGCAGCTTTCAGGGATTTGGCTCTAGTCGCTGTGCCCTTTTAATTTCTGTTTAACTATGGTGCTGATGTCTCTCTGTTGTCAAGGACACAACCCAGCATACCATCCTGAGAGGACCCAACTATAACCAATACATTTTTCAGGACAGCAAATGTGCTCACATACCTTTCAAAGCCCATCTCTGATGACCGTGTTGAACACCTTGGTCAGTTCCATGAAAAATCATGTAAAGAGCCCGATGTTGCTCTCTACGGCTGTGTCTACACTGCACCCCTTTTTTGGAAAAGGGATGCAGATGAGAAGTCGGAATTGCAAATGCAGCGTGGATTTAAATTTTCCCCGCTTCATTTGCATGAACATGGCTGCCGCTTTTTTCCGGCTCGGGGCTTTACCGGAAAAAAGCGCCAGTCTAGACGGGGATCTTTCGGAAAATAAAGCCTTTTCCGAAAGGTCCCTTATTCCTAATTTTAAGAGGCAGCCATGTTCATGCAGGCTGTAATTTGATTTGTGCCTTCTGCTTAGTTTGAATATATACCAGTTTCCTGGAGGCGTTCTTTGTATTTTTGTTTGAAGGGAGATGTGTCACGCATCTTATCAAGGAGAGCTTGGGCATCTTTCTCCTTGTCATCGAACCAGCCCTTGTGTCCACTTGGACAGCTTTTTCACAGGTTGTTGCCCTCTTGTTAAACCAATCTTCCTCAATAATAAATCAATCCGGATCTTCATTGTCAATGGCAAAGGAGGCGTCAAGACTGAGCTGAAGCAATGCTTGTGTCTCGTACATTTCAAGTAAACCTTACAGCCAACTGATGTTGGCAATAGATTACACTGACAACAGAAAGGACCCAGATCATATTAATGATGTTAACATTTGGATTATCTGGCTAATCGTGTTCTCAACACAAATTGTAGTCGATAAGAGGGCCCTCCGCAGAGCCGCAGCGGGAGCTGGCTGGAGCTGGGACTGAGGAGTTCCGACTGCGGCTCTGCATTTTACATGTGATTAAAATCACAACAACTTGGTTGCACACACACAGATAATCCACGTATACACACATTTACATAGGCCTCGTCAAAATTTTAAAAATAACTCCAAGGGAATGCACATGTTAATATTCTCTCAAGATACTGTTAATAAATAGAAAGCTTAATTATATTTTCTTATGAGATTCTTTGCTCGTACATGGGGTGAGCAAGAATTTGGTAAGTGGTCAAGGGCCACACTCTTCCATGATATTAATAAAGGAGGTGCAGAGTCTGGGATGGAGGTTGTGTGCAGGAGGGAGCTTGGGGTAAGGGATTGGGATGTAAGAGGGGGTATGGGATTTGGAAGGGGTTGTGACCTGGGGCAGGAGACTGGGGTGCAGAAGGGAGTGCAGGTTCTGGGAGGGGGAAGGGTGCAGAAGAGGATTCTGACCTGGAGGAGGGATGCAGCAAGGGGTGTAAAGTCTGTGAGGGGTTTGTGACCTGGGGCAGAAGTGCAGGAGGTGGGTGCAGGTTGTGCCTGGGGATAGGGGATTGAGGTGCAAGGTCTGGGACAGGGTTGTGGCCTGGAGGAGGGGATTTAGGTGCAGAGTCTAGGAGTGCAAGATGGGTGACAGAGCTGGGGGAGGGAGAGGCTGGGGGTGCCCCAGGCAAACTTTGGCTAGGACGCACTTACCTGGGTGGCTCTCAATCAGCAGGTTCTTCGGCGAGGCTTCCTGCCTTGCTTGCCCCCACCTGCTGCTCAGAGCAACTGCAGAGGCCATGTGCTGCTCTGAATGCTGCAAGACTGGGGGGAGGGATACTTCACACACTACTTGTCTTACAAACAGACAGCTCCCATTGGCTAGTTTCCAGCCAATGGGAGCTGCATGACTGTTCTGGGGACAGCACGTGAAACAATTCCTCCCCTTCTCCTGGGCTTGCAGAGTTCAGAGACACATACAGCCCTCGCAGCTGGCTGCTCTGAGCATGGCAGGCAGGGAGCCTGGCTGAGGCTCCCATTGGGCCCCGGGTCCAATCTGGCAACTTGGAGGGCCAGACACAGGCCATATTTTGCCCACCCCTGCTCTTAGGGATAGTCTAGTTCTTATGCAAGGATTAGATGAATGGGTAGTTTAAATAATTTTCAATCATCTCTTAAGTTTTCTGTGTATTTCTGAGTACAGCATTTAAACCTATAAAGGTAACCTCAAGGGGGAGGCTGATGAAAAATATAACCCCTTTTTTCCCCCGTCAGTTTTGTACATTCCCATATCATGCTATACAAAAGGTGCCTTTTCAGCTGAAGTGTGGTATTTTTTACACCATGAATTTCAAACACATTTAAAACTCTTCTGAAATACTACAAAATTCATACTTCTAAGATTTTGCCTTTATAAATTATTTTATTTTATTTTTAACCAAATAGATATGGGAAGCAAACATATATTAATGTACATTGATTACTAATGCACATTAGAAAACTAAATTAAGTTAGAAGCAGCTATAGCAAAAACTACCCTACAATATCTCAATCTGCGGATAAGAAACAGGGAGTTTCTTCCTCAGTTTACTGTCACAGGAGATAAAACCGCTTATTTTCTCATTCTGTGTATCAGATAATAAAGTTTTTCACTTGCTCACTCTTTACAATGTCCACATATTCTCTCAGGGAGGAAAAAAAATCAACTTTTCACTTCTATCTAGTCAATGACCTCTGTTAAAAGCCATTAGATACAGAACTTACTGGAGTCAATAGGAAGATTCCCATTGGCTTCAACGGAAACTAGATCAGGACCATAAAGATCTGGAGCACAACAAGATCAATAAAACACATCTGAACTTCATTAGGAGACCACCTCCCACTAACATATGCAGTTAGCTGTACTAAGGTCAAACAAATACTGTCCACAAGACATACCTATTGATGTTCATTTCTTGCCCATCTCTGAAAAGAGGTGTACTTCACTTTATGGCAGGGGTGGGCAACAAAACTGCAGCGTTAGTCCTTGGTGGGCTATTACTGCAGTATTTACCTGCGCCTCCACAGGTACGGGTGATTGAATCTCCCATTAGCTGCAATAGCCATCCATGGCCAACGGGAGCTGCAAAGGTGCAGGTAAATACAGTGGAATGGGGGCCCACCAGGGGCTAAGCCTGGCCAGCCGGCATTTATTTGCTCACCCTTGTTGTATGGCATGAAGACTCTCGCAAGGACTAAGAGCATGGTTTTAAAATAATGGAAATCAGTAACACAGCTATCTTCAGACTTTAGAAACCACGGAGGCATCAACAATCTACACTGTACTAAAGCTCCAGAGTACAGTCTGTTCAAAACTGAAACAGTCACTACACCCCGAAAAATTTAAAAATGGGTCAAATCTAAATCAGGTAAATTGACATGTCCTTGATAGAATTAAGAATATTTACACCATGGCTGATTTTGATCCTATGTTATAATACATAATTACACATAGCAAACGGCTTCAATGTATATTTTCATTGTCCTGAAATCAATCCTTGAATGTCAATGTCACAACTCCTCCACTCAAATATCCCCACGGTAACTTACCTAAAACCATTTTCTTCTGGAAGAGGAAATCTGGCCACCCCACTTCACATTTCTCAGCTGTGTGTATGATGCAGCCAGCATAGCCCAGTGTTTTTGTTTTTAAACTTCATTTTTTGGGTTTATATTATCTATCATTCCATGAATAGCTTCATTATTAGTATTACAATCAGTGCTGAGGAATTTCTCATATAAATAACCTGCCATTTTTATTTTAGTTGTAGAAATGTAGCCCACTTACTCCAAGTTTCGGCCTAAGGCCGTAGGTAGCAGCTACTAAAAGGGCTCTTGCCCTTTCCCCCACAGAATAGCAGCCTCTCCCTAGGCCACTTCCCCAACCAGTCTCACAATACCTTCTCCCCAGCATCTTGGAGAAAACCTTTCCTGCTAGCCACCTACAGCTTGCCTTACTCTGTGCTTCTTCCTCGCCAATCCGTCTCTCTTCTACTTTCCCCACCTTACCTGAGGGGAAGCCTTTCGGAGTGGCCCAGCAGGCCCTAACTGGCAGCAGATGTTCCATTGGGCCGCTGCAGGCCAGCTCTTAATAAGTCTCGGGTGTTAGCCTTTCTTGGTTGCTGAGCTACAGTCTCTGGTAAGGATGTTAAGGACTAGTCCAGTTCTCAACTTTTTTTTTTTTTTTTAATAAAGTACACCTTTTAAATATATATATATATATTATATAAGTAACCCCAGTACCTACAGTTTTTAGACACAAAAATATTTTTCTATCATTGCAACACATTTGTTTAAACAACTTAATCATAGCCGGGCAGGAGATGAAATTTTTGGGTGTAAAAAAGTACAAAAATAATAAAGCGCTGTAAAACTTAAAACAAACATTTAGTTTTCGCCTAATTTCGGTTGTGTTGACGTGTCCCCCATACTTCTCTCAAGTATCCCTCAGGGTACTCATATTACTGGTTGAGAAACACTGGACTAGTCGACTATTTTACCATTTCTGGGGAAATGCTGTGTGGAGCTCAGGGTCAGCTGGGGAGTCCCCCACTGACCCTCAGGCTCTGAGTCCCCCACTGACCCCAGGTTCCTTGAGGGCGTTTCCACTGTAAAATGCACAAGAGCCCCTGGTAAGGACTCTTGTACATTTCAAAGCTGGAACCCACGTGCAGCCCGGAGTCAACGAGACTTCCCGCTGGCCCTGGGCTGCATGCAGAGTTCCATATTCCTCCCAGAGAGGGCTCTTGTACATTTCAAAGGAGGAAAGCAGAACTGCCTATCGACTACTCAACTAGTAAATTACTTGGTATTTAACATCCTTGGTCTCTGGCAGTCTAGTCTGGGATGAGGAACCCACTCACCCTACTCCTCGTGTACCTGCCCTCCACCAAACTCCCACAACCCACTGCCTTGGGTCTGCCACAACTTGAACAGAATAGAAACAAAACAAGGAGCTTTGCATGTTCTTGTCTTGTGGTGTTAATTTCTTTTGCTTTTTTTGGGGGGGGAGGTTAGATTTGCTAGCTAGTTATGTCTGTTGCTGTGAAAAGTGATATTTACGATGATATCATTTTTCACAAAACACAGACTTGTAGTTATCTGGGAGGCAGTGAAAAGTGATATTAACAAACATACAAATTGTACAATAGTGATAGAAATGTAGCCATGTTAGTCTGGTGTAGCTGAAATAAATCATCTTGTTAGTCTTTAAAGTGCTACATAGTCCTGTATTTTGTTTCATACAAATTGTACCACTTTTCACAGCAGATTTACTAAGCCCAGGCAAGCTGGGGAACATATTAAGCCCTAGATCGGGATGGCCAACCTAAACCTGAGAAGAAGCCAGAATTTACCAATGCCCATTGCCAAAGAGCAATAGTTCTAAGTCACCAGCCCTGATCATCCACCACCACTCTCAGCACATCCCGCCCACTGGCAGCCCCACCGGTCAGTGCCGCCTTCTCCTCCCGCCCACTGTGATCAGCTCTTTCTCAGTGGGAGACACTGGAGGGGGGAAGCATGGCTGTGGCAGGCTCAGAGGAGAGGGTAGGAAGTGGCAGGATCCTACAGGGAAAGGTTGGAGGGGGACAGCACCTAAGGCAGAGCTGGGGGTTGAACAGTGAGCACCCTCCAGCCCAGTGGAAAGTTGGCCCCTGTAGCTCCAGTCCTGGAGTTGGTACCTGTGAAAGGAGCCACATATTAACTTCTGAAGAGCCATGTGTGGCTCTGGAGCCACAGGTTGGCCACCCCTGCCCTAGATGGAGAGGTGGAAAGGGAGGCAGCATGGATGAGGGGCAACAGATGAAGCCAGAGGTGATAAGGGGAGTTGTGAGAACAGGGCCAGAGTCCGACACCCCAGATCTGAAGCCCAAACCCCACTGCACCCAGGCAGATCAGGAACTCACATCAGCAGCAGCCTGCTCCTCTGGTATTTCTGGCTCCAGAGGGGATAGGACTCAAAGCCTTCTGGAGGACCCAGAGGAGGATTCACTGCTCTCCCCCCTTGCTGGCCACATTTGAGAAACGCAGTTACACAGTATAATACAAACTAAACTGAGTATGTACACATGGGTCGAGTTGTTTGGTTTATGAGGAGCATGCATAGCAAGCATCTGTGTGGAACAAATATATCTGGCGCATATACACAGCCTAGGTGTGAGGCAGTTTGGGGGGGGTATCTGAAACGACTAGAGGTGCTGTATGTATATGATGCTGTATGTCACGAGATGTGATGTATTGCTATAGGGTTGAGTGTGTGGGAGGGAAGACTTCTACACGGGGATATGCCTGGCGTGTGTGGAAGGATTTTTGTTGGGGTGGTATCTATGGTTCAGGGAGAGCTCTACATCAGAGGGGCTGGAGGAGCATGTATATGAAAGGAAGAGTCTATGGGGCACACCCCACATGGAAGGGTAGGCATGTTCAGGAGGTTGGGGTTAGGAGAAGAGGGTGTGTACAGAGCAGCCCAAAAGGGGAGGTGTAGGGGAGAGCTCGGAGGGGGTGGAGAGAGGCCCAGAGGACACAGGCAAAGGAAGAGGCGGGGGAGCCCAGGGCAGCCCACAGGAGGTAGGTCTGGGGAGCCCCTAGGGAAGGATGTAGGAGAGAGGAGGGTGCACAGGGGAGCCCACAGTGTGAGAATGGGAGGAGGGAGCGGGGGGGGACCCCATGGGGTGGGTGCACAGAGGGGAGCCCCAGGGAGTGGGGGCAAGAGCCGGGGGGCGCCCAGAG